GGGGGGGGGGGAGTCGGGTTGGGGCATAGGGTGAGGGCGCGTGTTTTGGACCGTCTGTGTTGTTGTGGGGTTGGAGGTAAGTTGTACGATAAACAGCATTTACGGCACTCTCTTTCTGCAGCCTCATCCACCTTCCCTGCAGCCGCTGTAGCTGCTGCTACTCTCTTGTTGTTGTTGTTGTGGTTGTTGTTGTTGTTGTTGTTGTAACTATCTAAACCACCTCTGCCGTGCACTCACCATGAGGTGCTATGGTTGCTCTGGCCATGCTCCTTGCCACAGCAGAAGGTGCAATTTCGGTCGCCGCACGTGCCGTCGTTGTACTCCTCTTCGTCGTCGTTGTCGTTGTCGTTGTCCTCGTCGCCGAAGTTTTCGTAGTGGTCCCCGCTTCTATCACCGTTCGTCGCCATCATCATCATCATCATCTGCTGCTGCTGCTGCTGCTGCTGCTGCTGGTGACGTCGCAGTAGCTCCTGCTGCTGCTGGTGCTGGTGGTACCGCTGCTGTGGTGATAGGCTGCCATGGTGCTGCTGCTCCAGGAGCTGCTGGTACTGCCGTTCTTCCTCGTGGCAGGCTTGCTGCTCGAGCTGCTGCTGGCACACCCTGCAGTGCTCTTGTTCTACCCTCCTTTCCATGCACTGCTCGCTGTTGCACCTGGGGAGAGGAGCGCGTTACGGCCTGTGGGTTTTGAGTCAGCAGTGGTAGTGTCAATTGCCGGTATAGGCCGCGGCGTCAGAATGGCAATGACATCGCGGCCGTGGGGGGCCTTTCGACGCTGGAGACACCCCAGTGCAGGCAGCGCATCATCCCCGGTGTATGGCAGAATGCGACAGAGTCAGCAAGGCGGAAGCAACAAAAAAAAACGTGTGCACAACCGCGACGAAACCTTTTCTTCTTGTCTTGTCGATTAAGATCGACGGGTACAGTAGTGAGAAGGAACAGCTACTGTTTCACGGGGAGACGACTTGTTTGGTGTGCATCACTCGAGAAGCACAATAAAAAGGAAGACGCTCCCACATGACAGGGGACGGCGCATAACCACGAACGTTTTCCAGCAAAAATGAAATTAAACAAAAAATTCGAAACTGCAGTATTTTTTTTTTAGAATGCGAGGAGAAGAAGGAAGGCTCATTTTCAAATAGTACTGAACTGCCACCACCACGTCCTCCGTTGGTTACAGGTATTCGTTGAATACTGGTACATTCTTCTTGTTTTATGTCTTCTCTCTTCGTCTGGTGGCCACGCAGATACATTTGTGTAATTTTCAACGGGCAAGCGCCGCCAGTGACAAACCATGCGTGATGAGTACAGCGAGCGGTGCCATGCACCACTTTGACGGTAGGCACCATGTAAAGTCTACACATGCGACAGTATGTACGCACATGTCATGCTTTTCAGGGAGATGCCGGACTTGCAGTCGATGGAAAGGGTACTAAAAAAAGAAGAGACAATCGCAGCGACGTCTAAAACAACAGTGGCACCAAGTTGGTTGGGGTGCGTGCGTCAGATTATTGTGTGGATTGCCACGGCCGCATGAAAATATAGCTCAATGAGGCATTCTCACTCTACATGTTGCCTATCGCCGGTGTGTTGGTGCGTGTGTGTGCCATTTTTTTTCTAGATGGATGGGCTGTTGATGTGGCGGAGGGAGGGCGTTCTCAAAGGGTAGGAGTGCGGGATAAGGCCCGCCGATGAGACGAAGACTTCACTCACTCATCATCTTCCGCAACGTAACCGATCAGTCGGTGACTTGGATTGGGTCACACATTCTCCCCATCGTCGGATCTGTGCACATCACATCATCATCATTTGTTGAACACTTAAAAGAGTAGAAATTGCATGTAGCCCAACACCCAGCAAGTTGTTGAAATACACTTGCTTGCCTCGCGTTCCTGTCGGATGGCGGTAGAATAAAGCATGCGTAGCACACGCAAAAAAAAAAGGGCTGCTCCCGGGCCTTTTCTGCGGTTCACCTGTGATAGAGCAAACTACTTGCACGGGATATTGATGCGTGTACCTTCGAAGCATCATCACTGCTTTCTCAGTGTAGGCTTAAGACCCAACCAGACTCAACTGCGTTCAGTACACTACAGCGTATCATCCAGGATAAATCCGTCCCTCGACCCCTACTGTAGACACATCCCTTCGAAAGGGTTATTATTGTTTCGAATCGGTACGAAATAGCAACAGCCTACAGTGACTGTGAAAAGTGATTTGAATGTTTTTCCCAATAACAACCTACTGTTCTGCTGTACTTCTGTAGAGTCTCGACTGGCTGGCGAAGAATTGGCAGTCACAGATCCTTGTGATTGCGTCCGGAGTAGTATTCGACGAAGTGCCCTCAACACAGAAATACGCATACCCCCACTGCTGCCCTCACAGCAGTACTACTAGTCTGCACATTGACATGCTGGTGTGTCGCCAAATTATCAGGTGTCATCCAAGTCCGAGTTGAAAAAACTAGGGAGGAGGGGGGTGGGGCGAGCTCTGATTTTGTTGGAGGCGAAGCGTTTGAACGAACCAGCCGGCCAGAACCCATGCTGCTGTACACGGTCGATCCTATGTCCGACGCAATTGTAGCAGCCTACGGAGCGTCGCATGGAAGAACTTTTTTCGGGATGCAGCAAGTGAAACACATGTTCGCCCTACAACAACATGTGGCACCCGCTTTTTCAAACGATCCGATCCATCCACCGGACAACCTGGCCGTTTTTTTTGTCAACCATGCTGCTGCTACGTACCTACCGCGTATAGCAGCGTACGTACAGCAACGAGCCCGGACGGTCCTTACCGTGATGACAACAACAGCAACAGCAACAGCAACAGACAGCAGCCTGGTCACTGAGGGGTAGGCTGCTGCTGCTACTGCTGCTGCTGATGCTGCATTCGGAACATGAGAATTTTGCATATCCTGCACGGACGGGTGTTTCAACACTGTGCGTCAGTAGATGTTTCCACTGGGAGCCAAGGGTCTACAAACAAATAGTCTAATCTACGCCGCTTTTTTTGCGCTGAGGACAACAACAGCCCGGCTCTGCAAAAAAAAACGTGCCCGGACGTATGCATGTGCACCTGCTACCCGCATGGTGTTCGTCCTGTGGCCACATCATGATTGTGATGGATCCACGCGTCGCCCGACCTTCGATCTTGGGAGGGCAGGGCAAGTACGTAGATTGAAGTTCACTTGTGCAGCTACAGCTGCTGCTGCTGCTGCCGTGAGGGGATCCTGTGTCTTGAAAACAGGGCGAACACCAGAGGAAGCAGCAAGGGGAATGTCGTCAAAATCTAAGATCCTGGAAAGCAGGCGGTGTTTATCCTCAGAGACGAAGCCTCTCCCTCTCTCAAACAGCGGGCGTCCCAGAAGAGGATACTTGTTGCTGCCTGTAGTACTGTTCCTCACAGCAGCGACCAAACTGCATTTTTGACCCTGCTACATCAAAAGGGTTTGTCTTACCCGCGTACCTCAGGGAGCGATTCGACGGCACCAAGAACGAAGGAGGGCAGAAAACCCCGATATGTCCTGGCCGTTGTTGCTGAGATAGATCCAGAGAGAATGAGAGCAGGGGGGGTAGGGAGTGAGAGCAGGATTGACACGAGTGATGCTCCGTTTTGGCCGTGGGGGCGGAGCAATCAGCGAAGAGCCTGCTGTTGACTTGGCTGTCATGTGTCATGTTGCCGCTCGGATCTTGTCGTCATGTCGAAATTCGTTGGTCGTCACTCGGAAAAAAATATTTGCCGAATGATGCAAGGATTCAACGCGAGACGTACGTACGCTGAATGTATGCTACAACGGAAGCAATTGAAACACTACGGTCGGGGCTTGGTTTCGCGCTTGGTCATTGCTCGCCTATGACTATGGGCCGAGTCTAAAAATTCTAGGTCTAGGCGGCGCAACTTGATGAGAGGCGGCTACAGCAGTAGATTCGAGACGATCTCCGAAAGAGCTCGGGGCAACCCTTTTCTCTTACTCTGGGAAACAGGGGACCCCAAGCGGATCTACAGAAACATCGGTAGCTGCAGAGTCACCTTCTGTACTGCAGTGTAGTGCGTACGCGCATACCGGTTGGTCCAACTGACGTCGGCTGACGTACTGTGTACATACTTGCTGCAAGTCAAATGCCCGAAAACGGGGTGCATTTCGTGAAACGACAGCAGCAGTATAGTCCACAGCAGTGCTGTCGTCTACTTTCTGCTGACTTGTATGCATACTCGCATCTGAAAGCTCGTATCAATACACCTCGTAAAATGTACTTCGAAGTGTAGACTAGTAGTGAACAAAGTTCGGTGATGCCACTACCATACAGCTGCAGTCTACACGGCAAATACCTCGCCGGTGGGGTAAATTCTTGCCTCCACGTGTCCACCACCACACCGTAGATGAGTCGTGTTTACCCCACCAGCTGCATCTCGCCCTACAAGACCCCACCAACCGAGAGAAGATATGCACGAAAGTTGGTTGCTGCTTTGCAGGGCTATCGTGGGATCCGTCGTGAACCTGAAGCGGTACAGTTGTGATGCTGCCACGGCCGGTAAGGGAAAATAAACGCAGCTACAGCAGTACACACTGGTGATGGGGTATACGGCACATAGTCTAGCCTTCATCATCCCACCACCTGGATCTCGATCTACAACAAAATAATTCCGATCGGCACAACAGCCGGTGGGAGGGTGTGGTTGACGCACACACCACGACACGCAGCAGCTGGCAGAGGCGGTACAACATAACAGTCCCGCCGCACAGCGCCAACGTGACACGTCGGTGAAGACAGAACACAGCCTCCTCCCTTGTTGCACATTGAGTCCCTTGAAAGAGACATTTGTGGGGCCTACAGCCTGTATCTCTCCCTACAAGACTCCAATCGACATAGTCTACATGCACGAGCGCATTGCTGCGTTGTTGCATGGGTATCGTGATACCCATCGTGGAGTCGAAAGGGTGCAGTTCAGGTCCGTACGGCCAGTGGGGTACATAATAAAGCGAATTGGTTAGGTCGGGTACGGGTTGGGTTGGGTCGCTCTGTCGGTCGATCTGGTGGCCTTGGGCCGCCTTTCGTCAATCGCGCCGCCGTCGCTCCGTCGATCCTCGCCGTCGGTGGCCCTTGTTGTACCGAATATGCCCCACGTTTTGGGTACAAGTGTGGTAGTCCCAATATACCGTACCGTACCGCGCGGTATACCGTACCGCGCGGTATACCGTACCGCGGTCCCGGGTCCCGATACACCGCGCCAAAGATCGCCTGTCAGAGGATTTACAGTAGTACTTTACTAAAAGCTATATCTATATTCCCCAACACTCAATACCACACCGTGCGGTATATCGGGACGATGACTATACATCGCCCAATTTTGGCTGAAGCTCAACATTCTTCAGGTCGCACCTATTTTGGCTGAAGCGGAACATTCTTCAGGTCGCACCACCTGATACCGTCCGGAGGGAGACCTCTTAGCTGACGTAATTGCTGCCTTGGATAATACCGTGTGGGAAGGTAGGTCGCTGAAAATCCCTGTCGAACTACTGCAGGTAGTCGTGGCCGTTCGATAAGAGCACAAGTACACGGTGAACAGACCTAGCAACTTGTTGTGTTCGGACTTTGACACCTCCCACTGGCTGTGATACTATTTGCAGCGTTCGCGACGGGGAATGCGTAACTACTTCGCGAAGCCCGTCAACCTCGTCGGTACAACTGGGCGGCCGACCGCAACGAGATGAGCTTCACCATTGTCTTCAACGGCCCGGTTGTCCAAAAACCGTCGACGTCATGCACACGACGGGAACGACGTGCCGTATCGAGTGTCTCACCGGTAACGTCGCGTCTCATCGATCCTGTCGTCATTAGGCAACGGAGAAACGCCAGACGGGCATCACGAAGGCAGAGAGCGACGACAAGCAGTGGGGGCTGACGAGATCAACGCTGAATCATGCACCCCCTGTGCTGAACCTGCGGTGTGGGCAGCAGCGCAGCAGAGAAGCGATTCTGACGAACGCCGGTCGCGTCTACGCACCACCCGATGACCAAGAGCAGGGTACAGCGTATTGATATTTTTGGCAAATCTATGTTTGACTTTTCTATCATTTGTTTTTTTATGTCCACCTTGGTAGCATCAGCGCAAGCTGGGCCACTCACAACTTGAGAGTTACGAAAGGCAACCTCGACAACTTCTTCTTCGACATCAAATAACGGGACAGCAAGAAAGTAAGAACACGTGCTCGATTCTGATGTGGTGCTAAGAACAAGAACACCCCCTGCATGGTGTGGGAATGCACATGAATGAAAAAAATGGAGCCCCACTATGTGCGGCGGTTGCAAGATAACAACGCTGGGAGGTGGGGAGGTGACCCCAACAGTTGTATAACAAGGGCGCGAGGGGGGGGGGGGGGGGGGGG